GCTGGGTTAACAATGGGGGAAGATGTCCCCAGAGGCTTCAAAGCAGCATTCACTGTGTTGGCCATGTTGGGACTATTTCAAAATGATACAAAAGATATTTTGCATAAGGTTTTTGACAATTTCCACAAGGAAATGCATATCCTCTTTATAAATAGAATACTTTTGGCATACAAGCAAAACCAATAGGCAGTTTAAATAATGCACAGTTGTATCAGTTACCTGGATAAATCTAAGCTGTGAGGTACACGAGCCAAGTCATTAACCAGTCCCTTCTTAAGAAAAAGCCTGATGATATTGTTCATGCCATTGTGTTGTGTTTTGGCTGCTGCTGTGCTGTAGAAACTGGAGGTGGAGGGACAGGATTCCATGATGGTGCTGATTATGCACATGACCGCCTGAAGCCTGTGAAATAAGTGCATTAAGGCTATTAATTAGAACGTGAGTTTCGCTAGCACACATTCAAGTAAATAATCAATTAAATCAAATTTCTTATTAGTATTATTGTTTACCTGGCATGTTTTTCAGCTCCTTCTGCCATGGCTAGCGCTCTACTGAGTGCAGCCTTTACTTCATTGACAAGTGCCACCTGGGCATCAGTGCCAGTGCCAGCAGCTGCCAGGCTGGCAAGGAAGAGACGTGCGAGGGCTGGCGTGTCCTTGTCCTCCGAGTTTTGGGTATGGGGCAGCAAGTGATCAAGCACAAAGGCTAAAACACTGCAGTCCTGGTGGAGTGATCAAACACCATTCAATTGTTAAAGGAAGGACACCAAAAAGCAAAAAGCATACTGAAAGATTACAACCACCCACCTCCTTAATGAGCTCCGACTGTCCAGCAGTGTAGCAGTAGGAGGCAATTAAGGTGGCAATGCCCACATAGGAGCGCACCAGTTCAGCCAGTAGTCTCAGAATGGTGGAAGTTGGCATCAGAGGTTTGCTGGCCTTCACTTTAGCTGCTTTACTCTCTTCTGAACTGGTGGCCTTCTCTCCCTCCTGGTCCTTTTTCTCTTCCCGCATCTCTTCTGGTGTTGAGGCTTCAGAGGAATAGAACCAAAAAGAATGAGATGAAGTGAAGCTCTCATAGTCTAATACAAACAAAAGGCTCAAAAACTTTTTTAGGAAATACGGCAGCTTCCGTATTTTTTATAGCCATCAATAAATAAATAAATTAGACTCCTGTTTAATATTTACCGTATGGTTATGTGACAACTTTCTTGCATGGATAGTGACATAGCAAAAGAAAACACTTTCAATGGGAGCTTAACTTCTTCAAACAATCATAGAAGATATCCTGCATACATTATCCTGCAAAATAATACAGTACAGATTAGTTTCTCACCTTCTCCTTGTGGTGTACCGGATTGTGAAGTCTCAGCCACAGCTCCATCAGCAGCAAACACCCGAGTCTAACAGGAAGAGACATGACTCATTTATTAAAATAGGAGGAACTGAATCTATTGTTACTACATAAAAGGGGGAATTCTTTGCTACTTAAATGGAAAATTATGTTGTTCCTTGATGACTAAACAAAACGAGAGTTGCAGATTAAAAAATGAACTAATTTTTTTCAAACTAAATCTTTAGAAGTAGGCAGACATTTCAGAGAAACAAATGTGAAACAAAAGCCTGACAAGTCAGTTTCACATAATACATGTTACTTAGACTCACATTTATGTGGAATGCAGACTGGGAGTCAAAGTCACTGCCCTGACGGGTAAGACGGTATTGTTGGTAAACATCATCACCAACATCCTGCAGTATCTGACACAGGTCTTGAGCACCAGGAACTGCAGCTGCCCGTTCTTCTGGACGCTCCGCTTTATCAAACACCAAAGCAAAATTTAGGCTCAATGGAATATTTAAGCACTGCAAAAAAAAAAAATCCTCTTAATGTTGTCATCTTACGTTCTTCTGGAGCATGGTAGGCAGCCAGAGCATTCAGCATGTCATAAATGACCTCCTTTATTGTGTCAGGAATAGTTGGTAAAGGTGAGAGTTTGAGGGGAGTTGTCTTTACTAGCTGAGCCGCATTGGGCCCCTTAATACGAAGGTTCTCAAACTCATCATCAGATGCTGTGGGAGAGGATAAAATCAATATAGTACTAACCGAAAGCAAATTCCCAGTTAAATAAGCTTTAAATATAATAAAATGCATCAGAGTCTATCAAAAACATTGACACTCACCAGTTCCAGCTCCGCGTGGTGCGGGCAAGGCAATGCGAACGCAATTGCTAGCAGTTTCTGCAAAACATTCAGGGTTACGGCAGGCTGCAGGGCCCAGAACACGAAGAATATAGTTGATTTCTCTGGAACCAAGGCTGCCTGACACCACTCCTGACGTTGTACTGCCTGCTCCACTGGTCACTGCGGACCTTACAACCTATTTAAACATTAAAGATTTTGTCAACAACATTTGGTATCAGTAAAGTTAAGGTAGAATAATGTCATTCAATTTAAATGACTACTGTACACACCTTTTCCATTGTGTGTCTCAGTGTGGCAGGATCCTCTATGATGTGTCTGAAGAGAAGAGTAACAAGTGGAGTGAAGCCATTAAAACCAGAGCTCTGAGTCAGCCCTAGAAGCATCCGTGTGCTCTTCAACTCCGCAAACATCATAGCGTAGTGATGGTTGCGTGTTAGGCGCAAACAGAGACGCAGTGTGGCATGGAGAGTGTCGGGATCCACAGGGACACTAATCATGCTGACACAGGCCCGTATGAGGACGGTGGTCATGTCCTCTGACAGGCCTTTTACAACAATATCAGAGCCCTGTGAATAATCTGACTCCAAGGAGGATGAGGGGCCTGAGGTTGTTTCTTTTAGCTGGCTGGAATCCCGCTTTGGAGTGCTTATTGGAAGAGTGGTGGACCCAAACTCAAGGTCGGTCTGGGTTTCCTCTGCTTTGCCTCTGTCCGTCTCTTCTCTCTCAGAGTCTGTTATGCTGCCAGTCTTGACAGGTTTGGGCAAACGTGGAACTCTTTGGACGTTCAGCATAACTGGCCTCCTGTTACCCGTCTCCTCGTTGACCTGAGAAGAGCATGGATATAATAATAAATAATAAAAGCATCAGACAAGTATTGATTTTTACAAAAAGCAAACAAAAGTTATCTCTTTCTTTTCCAACAAGTCACAAAGCTGTCTTTGTTTACCTGCACCATTGTGTTAAACTGCACAGTGTATCTCCGGCGCCCAGCTGTAAAGCGGACACTGGTCTCCCCAGCCCTCCACGCTGAGTCAATAGTGCTGTTGTTTGACGCGCTGTAACTGCACCAACGACCGGAGCGGTCATCAAACCAACGCCAGTTATTCCCATTAGGCTGCAGATACTTAAGGTAAAGAAAACAGGAAAAAAATTAGAAGCGGTTCATGCAATTCTCTTTGTATTTTCCCTCTAATTATAATATATACCTTGTTCATTTGTTCTCTGCGCTTTGAAGAGACTGCCATTTTCTCGTAGAAGTCAATAATCAACAAAACTGGTGTGATCCACCTGCAGAAAAAGCCATATCATAAATTAAAAGTATAATGACAACAACAATGGTGATATGTAGTGATGAGCAAAACTCACTTTGGTGTCTGAATGTCTTTCTGTTCTTTTGCAGCCTGCAGGCAGGGTTGTACAACCTCAAGCAACTTTATTAGCAGATTAAGAATTCCACTGTTCTCCACAACTCTTGCACCCAACAGTTTCAGCTCCTTCAGAAGAGACAATTAAATTCAGGTCAGGGTTTTGCCAAAAAAGTTGAATATTAAAATTTTCTACAAGTGACATTTTAAAGCTTACATGAAGATCAAGTACATTTTTTATGTTACCTCAAAGAGCAACGTGAGCAGCAGAATTCTTGTTGCCAGTTTGGAAGCCTGTGGCAGTGTGGCCATCTGTCTGGTCCACTCAGACACTGTCTTAGTGTCACTGGTTGTTAGGGGTTCAGCCGCCTTGATCAGAACGTCGGCTGCCTCCCACACCTTGATATAAACACGTGATCATAATTAGGTTATGAACAACATGGGCTTCTACTGAGCAGCAGAAGTTCAGTTATGCAAATCCCATGTAGCAATATGAAAAAAAGTCTTACCTGGTGAACAACCTGGCCAAGGATTAAATCTCTGTACTCAGGGCCACTTCTTTTAATGGCAGTCATCAGCAAATCACAGAGTCTGTAGACTGTATCAGGTAGTTCATCCAGGAGATGGAAGCATCCAGGCAGCATTGAGTCTGTGAAGGTGTGAAGCTCCTGAGGATCTAGTGGCTCTGCCTCCATAAATCTTTCCAAGCAGCGGGCCTCCTCCTCTTCTGCTCGCTCCCTTGCTCTCCGGTCCTCCTCTTCGCGTCGACGTGCTGCTTCCTGAGGCATGGAGAAATAAACTTAAAAATTAGGTTTTGAAAGTTCAGGCAGTTTAGGGCCCACAGTGTTTTAAGTAATTTCAGCTCATTGACCTCAGGAGAATCAGAGCGCTGCTCCATGGTGACTTCTTGTCCGAGTGACATGGCAATGGCCCTCATCATCTGATCCTCTTCAGACATACTGAGATCCTAAATAATTTTTAAAATAACATGTTTTACTTTTTCAGATACAAAGTTAATAAAATTGAAATATGCTTTAAAAAAGAAGCCTTACTCTCACAGCACCACCAAGAAGTGGGGGAGGGTGGGTTAGTAAATATTCTGTGGCCTGCTCCATGGTGCTTGTGTTCAATAAGGCCTCCATGGCATGTTCTCTTGAGAAGCCCATATCCATTAACTACAAAAACAAACAAAGATGGAGATTTTACTTTGAGGGAACATTGGTGTAAATCAATCTGAATGATAAACAAAAGTTGTCACTTTCTTCAGTTTAAAGGTTAGGGTTGTATTCATCCACTCAGAATTAAGTGTGTAAGAAACACTGCCACCCCACCTGTGTGAGCTGAGACTGGTTGACCTGTGGTTCACGGCGGGGAGTGGAGCTGCTTGAATCATCAGCGGCTCCTCCTGCTGTTCCTCCAGAACTTGTCCTAGCGGCTGGCTGCGCATCTCCACCTGCTGGTGGTGCTCCCGGAGCCACAGTGGGCCCTAAAGAACTAGCAGGCGCTGCTTCCTCATCTGCACGCACTGTACCCTCTCTCTCCTTGGCCAGGCGCTCCTGAATGACTGGCTCCCCTCTCAGGATGTGGCAGAGTATAGCCAGCATTGACTCAGCCATTCTGCCCCCATACACTTTAAGGGGCTTCCTGTTCCATAGGCTGCGAATGCAGCTGAATGCAGCCTTGATGACAAAGAGACTTTGTTAATATAATCAACATGCACTCTGAGTTAAGGCCCTATTTTTTTTAATACTCTTGCATGTTTTCATATTGGGTAAGCCCTATGGAAGATGTTTTAATTTCCACATCATTTAGTGTACAGTATAAACTTAAGTGCTGCGTTATTAGTTTATAGTTTATTAAAAAAAAAGGTCATAAATGCTTGCGGCCAAACATAATAGTAAATAAAGCAGTAGGTTTACAGTGTAATGATGATGATGAAACATCCACTGAGTAAATTATTGTAATAGTGGCTCCAGTTTTCAGAACAATCACTAAAGCCGTAATGAAAACCAGGAGCAGGGACACATGTGGACACTAACCTTCTGAGTGACTATGAGGAACCGGAGTGCACTGAACTGGGGCACTGATGGTGTGACTCCAGGCATTTTTGCTGGTAGAGAGTGAGGTGAGTCTAGCACAGTGCTTGGGTTCACCATCTTCTCCACCAGCATCAACCAGGCATCAAGAAATTCCCCTGTTCCATCTGGCAGATCAGCATGTTCCAGACCCTCAGACACTGGCACTTTTCCACCCATAGTCAGGGCCCAGTTGAATGTTCTGCAAAAGATTAATAACCAACTTGAGTGCTGTTGCACAATTGACAATACCACTTTTGAAAAAGTGAAGAGTTCTTTATTGGCAAGACTCACTCAAATAAGGCATCGTGTCCTCCTGAGCAAAAGAACTTCTGCAGCATGAGATGGTATGGGTATTTTCTCTCATCAAACAACATGGGAGATGTAAAACCCACTGAGCAGATGAAGAATGTCAACCTGCAGAAAGAAGAAACAGCAGACAAGAGCTTTGAGTGCAATGCAGTTAAATGGAAAAAAGGCATAAGGAAAGGTTTTCATCTGCTCTTACCTAAATCGAGGGGTAGGTGTGTAGGGCGGTGGTAGCCAACTTAGTCCCTTAGTGAGCAACTTGGTGAGAGCAGAGGCAGTGGCCCGGGCAGCAGGTGTCGGTGTAGTTCCTGTGCTTGTGGCGTGGTGGGAGCGACGTTGGCGAACTGGAGAGCCCACACAAAGCTTCACCAGCAGGCCAAAGAGTTCAGCTAGGGCTCTGCCTAATCGAGATGAAGCTGACAAGAACACAATAGAAAAAAAAATGAAGAAAAGAAGAACTATTTAAATATACTTATTTAAAAAAAATTGAATAGTATTCTCACCAGAGAGCAGAGGTTTGATCTGCTTGATGCGAGTGGCCATAGCTGGTGTAAGTTTGGACTTGGCCTTAGGATCTGTTGCAGTGGGTTCATCAGTCTCCATGGGAGCTAAAGTGTCCCCATCCAGACCCATGCCTTCCAGCAACCCACTGGCAGAAGAATCTACTGAGGCTGCATCAGACTCTGCTAAGAGGAGAACACATTTAAAGCGGTATGTTCTTAGCTAAACATAACAGGACACAATGCTGCCAGTTTGGGGTTAAATGGTTAGTACCAGTTCTTCTGGAACCAGAGGCAGTGGCTGCTGCAGTGCTGCCAGATGGCTTCTCCTCTTTAGGCACCAGTTTCTGCATGTCAGCCTGGCCAAATTCACACCCTGGTGGAAGGCTGTTGAGAACAATTAAACTGTTTTTAAGCTGCAAAGACAAAGACTGCAAAATATAAAGCAAAAGGAGTTGAGGTTAAGAAATTCACCTGTTGGGTGTACACAGGGACAGCAACACTGTGCTCTCCCACACCAGAGAGCAGTAGAGCTGACTGAGCTTGTTAAGAACACTCAGGCCAAGCTGGGAGCCCCATTGGTTGACTGAAATTGCTCGAATTTCACTCTGTTGAAGAACAAAAGAAATTTAAACAAGCAGTATGAAAAACCCCTTTATTTGCACAAATGCAGACAATTTTTGAGAGTGCATTTAAACTTTGGTGAACATTATTTTAAACTTTAATATATGTTTACCATTTCATCTTTTGGCAGGTAGTCAGGTGATTACATAGGAAGTAACTTTTTTAGTTTAAGTTTAAAACTCACAAAGGTAAAAACACACATATTAGCAACATGACTCAAGTAAAATATGTCAGGTAAAACAGTTCCAAAGTATAAGTAGAATACATGTGAGAGGTTTCATTCATGTTTCAGATTCCACACATTTACATGGAGTTACTACAGTCATGCGAGGGCATTAGAATCCAGTTTAATGAGAACATATGCATCAGTATATAATTACCTGTCCAACTCTGCAGGTGTGGACAAACATGAGGATGTAGGCATGCGCTGCCGTAAGTGCATGGAGAAGAGGTGTGGCGTGGGCAGACAACGTGGCATCAGTGACGTGACCTGCATTAGCCAGCTCTCTGAGAAGCACAGATCCACCAGGCACCTCGATGGGTCGATGGAGTGGCTCAAGAGAGGTCAGAATACTGTCCAGTTGGCATAAGCCTTCCTGAAGTACTTTGGGTTCATGTGACAGAGTCTAAGGGAGAGAAGAGTGAAAACATTTAATTCTGCAAGCTGCGCAAAACTTCAAGTTAGTTAGAGAATCAGTTTTGGTTCTTATGGTGCTGTTAAACGAACTAATGTTACTGGGAATTATAACAATATTTAGGAAAACAAACTGAACTTGCCAATATGGACTTGCAGACACCAGCCACAGCTTGACAGGCAGCAGAAGTGGGGAAGTCGATGGGCAAGTTGGGTAAGCCCAAAATGGAGACTAAAGGGAGCAGCCCCTTCTGATTGACAAACTCCTGACAGTGGTCATCTGTGGTGTTGTTGCTCAATATGGACTCCACAAACTTCATCTAAAAATAAAAAAAGGACAATACAAATAATAAGCTACTGAAAGAATTGAACAAAGACAAAACAGGAACATTTAACTGTTGATCATTACTTACCACATTTAAAATGTAGTCCATTAAAGGTATAGGTATACGTTCTTCAGTTCCAACCACCCTGCAAGAATTCAGCATTCAGTTAAATGACCATGACTCAGTAAAATATTTGAAAGTGAGTCATTTCATGGTGAGCGTGTTAAGTGTTGGTGTTCAGTTCTACTGTGTTACAAACTCGTCATACAGTTCAAGTGGCACTGACTGTCTGTTGCTCTCTGGTTCTCCTTGTTGCTGGGTGAATGTGTGGAGAGCCTCCTCTTCTTCTTCATCCTCACTTGACGCTTCTTCTGCAGCATGGCTGGACCGTGCTGGTGGGACAGCTACAGTGCCATCTGCTTTCTGGATGGATGGTTTCTGGCAGATGTACTCTGGGGCTCGACCCAGGTTGCAGATCTCCTCCAGCAACTGTTACCCACAACAAATACTTTAAATGATATTGCAAACTCCACTGCACGTCACATTATAGAAATGGAAGGTAGAGTGTGTTGCTGTTGTTCTCTTAATCAACAATTCCCTTGTATCTTTCAATAATGAATTCTAGTAATTTATAAATGTTTGTGTGCCTAGAAACATAAATAAAAACAAATCAGATTACAAGAAAAGCACCTTAATGATGGCAGTGGTAGCATCAGTTTTCAGAGTCGGTTGGTGTCTCATAAGTTCATCCACAGCACTGCCTAAGTTGGATGCTGTGTCACCTAAAGTCAAATACAAACATCATCAACATTAACTGCTATGCACTACAAAAAAATATAGCTTGAAGCAAAAATAGTTAAACTCACCTAAAGGGTCAGAGCTGCGTCGTCGGCGCATAGCAGGCAGGTAGTCAGGTGACAAAAGCACTTTGAAGAGGCGCTCAAATGGCTGGCACTGAACAAAGGAGTGCAGACCTCGTGCGTTCAGGCAAAGAGCGCTGAACACATTAGGCAGAGAACCTAACACCTCACGAGTTGCAGGAACCTGGAAAATAGAAACAATGACCTAACTGAGTAAAAAAGCTGCAAGCTGATACAATTAACCCATCCAAAAGTATGACCCACATTAAAACTCACCATCACACATTTTGTATATTTATCATTTTTATAAAATATTAAGCTACAGTAATAATTAAAAAAAAACGGAATTTGTAATAACTATAAAAGTGTTGATGAAAAGATTTTCACAAGACGCACATCTTTGATGAGAAGGGCATGCAGCATGACATCAGTGAGACCATTATCCTGTAGAGAAGAAAGCAGGGAGGGCTCCTGGAACACAAACACGGTCACGACCTCTGTCGCTAAAGATCCAGAATTTAGAGACAAGAACAGAAATGGGAAGAAACAGTCACAAAAAAAAACTCATATTTGAAATAAAGTTCCATCCTCTTGATATAAAGCAAGTGATAGCATTTAGTTTATATCCAAGTCTGAGGAAACATTGTAAACTCACCTAAGAGAAAGAGTGAAGGTCCATAATATTCTGCATTACTGATGATGTGCTTGAGTGAGGTAGGCAGGGACCCATCCATAACTTTAGACAAATGCAATGTGCAAAAAACATACATTAACATATATGATATTAATTAAACTACTATCACATTTTATCACAATTATAATTGATCTTGAATAAGTCTTTTGAACAGTTAAGGGTGTGCTGAAAACTCACCATGACGGATGCCATCAGAAAATGAAGGATCCGGGATGGCTTTCTTCAAGAAATTTAGCATCGACTTTAACAGAGCTGCCCTCTGGGGGATACACTGCATACCTACATATAGTGGTAGTGTCATTCTTAAGATATTATAATGTATTAGTAAAACCACACATTTTTAATTTCAATGTATGTGTACCTGGGCGAGGTGTATGGGTGTTAGAAGTGCTGCTCTGTGCCCGATGATCTCCCTCAGGTCTGGCACCAGAGGATGTTGACGGTCCAGGGCTGCTTTCCATGGAAACTTCTGACACTAAACGGTTGTAATATAATATAAGTTAACAAACATATTTCATATATTTATAGAAAAACATTTAATGGATGCTGACTTACTCTCCATGTCTGTGTCCATGTCTTCAGACTCCACAGCTGCACTTGGCCTCTGAATCTTTGGCTTGATGACAAAGGGGCCCTCTTTCCTTGACAGGTCCACCTCATGCTAGAAAACAACAAATTCATGACGTGGTTAATGGAAGAATTAGTCAGTTGTTCTGCTGGTGAAGGATGCAGTGAAGAGTAAAACTAACCTCTAGCCTACAGATGAAAATGGAAAGGCCACTGTGGGACTGAAAGGCAGCCATATCAAGGTTGGTGATGAGGTCCACAACCCGCACTGCTCTCGTCACAAAGGTGATCTGGTCCTGCTCATCACCAAGGAACTTAATGACCTACAATATGCAAAGTAAAAAAAAATACTGTTAGAAATGAAAAATTAATTACATTAGTGAGGTGTTAAGAACTAGTTTTACCTTTAATAGGGCTTCCATCATACCACAGGAGACAAGAGCTTCCCCTCCAGCATCATAGCTGGCCAGATGGTACAGGAATGAAAATAGCGCAGTGGCAAATTGGTGTGGGTATGGTTCCATTAAAGGGTCTGTGGATTAATAATTAAGGTATTAAACATAGCTGACACAGAACTGTCACTGTAGGGATTCTGACTGAATTCTCACCTATCATTGCCTGTATACAGTTTCGAACCAACACAGGTAAGAAGCCATGGTAGGAAGCAGTGCCAGTGCAGTCAATGATGTTGGAAAGTTTGGGTGTCCTTTCCAGATGGACAATCGAGGTTAAAGTGCGCAAAGATGCTGCCTTGATATCCTGGGAAAAAAAAAAAAAAAAGATTTAAAATACAGAAATGTTTACATGCATTTGTCACCAGAATATATTGACCCAAGAGGATACACTCACCACAAGCTGCTTGTCCGTAATTTGCAATACGTCCACCAGCTCCTCTATCAAGCCATTATACAGAATACTGTTGGCTGACTCTTGGAGTGCATTTGAATACACTGCAGGAAAACAGAAATTGTCACTAGCCCACATTTAAAGAACAAACAATTGTTATCTTTATTGTAAGGAGTTTCCACTCACCCAGTATAGAGATAGCATGCAGTCGAGCCTGCACAGCCTGCAACCTTTTCTTGTGGTTTGAAAAACCATGGGCCAGACGGATGTGAGTGAACAGCAGGGTTTGTTTGTCTTTAGGGATGTTGTACATCACTGTAAGTGACTCCATGATCTCAGATGGGCTCTCTGAAATCTATGACCCACAATGATGAGTTAAGGCCACTTAGAAATGTGACTTGTTATAAAATGCAAATAAAATATAACTGTACCTTGTCAAGCTGTTCAATGTGAATATAATGTAGTGTGTTACTACTTGTCTGTTGCAAAAAGAAGAGTTCAAAAAGCATTAGAAATGTGTTTTTCAATAAGTAAATACATATGTTTTTGAAATAAGTATTGGTGTCTTCACCTTCTTGTCTACTTTGACTTCAGGGCCAGGGCCTGGTTCAGCATAAAACTCAAAGTGCAGTGTGGTGGCACTTGGAGGGTACTTCTACATCCAAACATGTTGAAAACATTTTAAAACCAGTTCATAAACAGTGACTTAGCCGTGTAGCCATTTTCTACATGGATGTAACTACAGCAGTAAAGTTAAATTCTTACCGTCATTAGCAAATCCCTACAGCACTCAGCCAGACCAAAGCCATTTTCCTTTCCTCCCCAACTCTACAAAAATTAAAAAAGAGACTTAATAATGTTGTTCTTTCTCACAGGGGACAATTGGAATCTAAGCAAGAAAAAGCAATGGCATTCACTAGACCTCAGCCAGGTGCTGCAGACGAGCCAATAGAGGTGTTCTTTTGTCTGATCCCAGTCTTGTGATGTAGTTAGAGCGCTTACTGAACACATACAGCAGGTTTAGCACAGACAGGACCACCTGCATGTCACATGACGCTAACAAGGTGGTTAAGTGCTGGAAATGGAATGGGAGAAGACAACAGACGGTTTTATTTAGTGAGCATATTTTCTTCTCTTCTTGTGATGTGCAGTACTCCAGAGAAGCAGAGTAGTTATTGTGAATATAACAGTGCAAACCTACCTCTATGGAGCTGTAGAGATGCCTAGAGAAGCTATATTCAATTAGGAGGGCTGTGAAGTTAAGCACTGCAAGCAGCAGGGCTTTGAGCTGTCCATTGTCTGGACGGTCACACACCAGCAGCCATGACATATTCTCCACTGTCTGGCCTGCGTCACAAAGGATGCCATCAAAGCGGTCCAGCAGATCCACCCAATGGTACAGTTCGCACTGTTGAAGACAGGCCATTACTCATATAGAGCACAAATCCATAGATGTAGCCATCCACCCGTTTTTGTATCACTATGTGTTGCATATTGTAAAGGCTTTTTAAAAAAAAGCGACATGTTACTATATAATGATAATGTTGAGGTTGTCTAGTTAAACCTGCTCTTCTGTTGTTCCCCTTCATTGTGCTCTGCAAAAGATGCTGAAGAACTATATTGTATGGTTGAGGACCTCTAAAGAAACCTGTATTTTTTATTTTTTTATGACACAAGTTGAAAATTGCAATGTAAACAATGAAATCATTTATCAAATGAGTAGAACACAGTGTTCAGTATGAATCCTATTCATCATCAAAGAACACATTTGGAAAGAGATTTGCACACAGACAGACATGTTTCAGACAAAACAAGTTCAGTTTACTCCCCCCACCACTGTTTATGTACCTGCTTAGGTTTTCCTCAGTTAAAACATCGAAACAAAGACATACTTAATAAACATGCAAGTTATTCTGGAGAATGATTACTGGCCAACGTATAAAAGATAATTTTGCATTTCAAGGCTTACCTTGCCAATATTCCATGTCTTGATGTGTTGTAGTTCAACTAATAGTTGCTCATCACTACATGACTTGAGCTTCTCTATAAGTATCCTGCAGTCAGCAGGCTGAAAAAAAGAAACAAAAACAGAGCATAAACTTTAGTTAACCATAGATGTGTGAAATGGCCCAACATTGTATTTCTATATCTCAAAAGTATAAAATATTAACAGAAATTATGGCTTGTATCATACATAAAAGAAAATGCAAACTTACAGCTTCTGTAGGAGTTTTCTTCAGTTTGCTTCTGTCGACCTTCATTGTCAATGTTTCCTTTTATCGCTCCTGGTAAAAAATGCAAACGAGCTTCAACATTTAAAGCGGTTTAATAAACAATTGAAATCCACTGCTTTCAATAAAAACTCCAAACAGCAAATACTGCAATAAACAGCAAATACTGTTTATTGTTTTAATACAATACAACACACACATGATGTTTGACACAGACTGAAATATAAAATGTACTTACACAAAAAAGAATTTGGCAACACCCGCTTAACAGCATGTTCTGGAGACGTTACCTGTAAAAAGATTATGGCATAAAAAAAATCTATTAAATGTCTTTAAAGGCCAGAACATATTTTTCCAAGATAAATAAGAAATATGTATAGCTTATCAGAAAAAGTTTACTTAAAAATGAAAAAAGCTTGGGAATACCAAATTAGTGTATTAAAAAATATATTTATATGCTACATACAGTGCTTTTCAGTCCTCTGCAGCTCTTTACCACTGAAATTTTGCCTTATGCCAGACCAGGAGGCAACATTCGCGCTGTTTGAACAACTGCTGTACCCACTGATCCACAGGTACATCAAAATTTAAGTATTAAAAAAACAGGTAATAATCTTTGCTTGAATTATTGAACTATTTGTAGTGTAATCTTTACACTGAACACTGCGTTATATCCAATTTGTCAGCACAAAGTAAAGCGGGAAACGGGTCCATACATTGCTAGAAATACACAACACAATGGTAATTAGAATGGTTCGACTCATATAGAAGTGGCAGCAGTAGCTCCAATCAGATGTAAATAGTCGCCGCCTCAATCTTCGTCAACGCAGTTTAAACTTATAGCCACCTAGCAGCTAATAAAACACACTAATAGTCCATCTTTATATAGCAAATATAGCAATACAGTGTCAACATGTGGCGCTGGCGTAAATGATGGCAAAGCAGTCTGGTTTGTTTGGTTAAAGATGTACAAAACGCAGACAAAAAGTCACACTGCCACAGGAATCGAGCGGTAATGTTTGCTGCGGAGTTGCTGTAGCCACCGTGCAGCTAAAGCTAAGCTACCGGTAACGACCGATCCTCTCCGGGTGGACTTGAAACCATTGAATACCACCAGTCTTGCAATTAAAGTATATAAAATTATCAACAATACGTGTGTTGACTCAGCAGATAACACCCAAATGTAGCCAACTACAAACCAACCACTTCTTGCGTGTGTACCACAACTGTCAGTTCATCTATGTTAAAATTACCATACTGTCCTAACCTGACTCTTTGACTAATTTAGGTCGGGGCTGCACAGGCCACAAAGGAAGTCCGCACTCATTGCTTCAGCAACATTAAGTCTTTTGTTTGAATCATACAATAAACAGCGTTCACTGACCCACGACAGTGAGATCGGCGTGTGTCAAATACCTTGAAAAGACACACCACACTTTGCGGTGGTCGAGAGTCCCAACCTGGATTCCCAGAGACACTGCTATAACACGCGCTAGCTGTTGAGCTAGCAACAGCTAGCCGAGCAGCAGGAAAGCAGAATGACTCGCTGAATCATTGTCGGACGAGACTAACGTGACTCTGCCACTTCTGTTTTCAGTTTTATGTCCAGTCAAACACAACACCGGCTGCAGTCTGGAATAAAGAAGTTCACTAGCCCGTTCTGTTTTTCCTCACGGTGTCCGCGCTTGTTTTCGTGGCACACACGGACACTAGCTGTTAGCAGAGTCACCATGAGTGGGTAGTGTGCAAAAAGTGAATAATGTTACGGCTGGGAATGAGCCTCTGTTTATCGACGCAGTGCATATTAATGTAAGACGGCCAGTCTTATGACGGTGAAAGGTCTTTTCATCAATAAAACTACATACAAACTCTCATGAAAACAACCCGTACTACTGACAAAACTTATGCAATATCAGTATCATAGCATAAATCGTAAGATTAAATAAGAAATATATATTGTGAACAAATACCAGCCTCTACAAGAAAAATGCGTTTGATGCGCATCTAGGGACATTTAACACACCATTTCTTACTAATTTCTAAATGTTAAATGTGTTACAGAAAACGGTGAAACTACTCAGGTGAAACATAATGCATTTAAAGCAGTATTAGGTGTACAAAATAGAGAATGCAGAAAAACGAACACAGTTATCTCTGGCCTAAAAGCCACTTAGGGTTTACATCATAATAAAGTTACATACTTATATCTACCACTAGATATGAGACCACACATTAAAAAATAACTACATTCTGGTGTAGTTGAGGTACACCTATTCATCACCTAAATCTGACCAATCTGACCATTTTTCCTTTGCATGTTGTGAAATTGTGAAACAACCAGCAGTCATAGATTGTGAGCTCCAGCCCCGATTCATGAGCACAGAGGAATGCATCCAGAGAATCCCAACGTTTTACCAGATGTAAAGGTCACAAAAGATAAACACCATGCAGCCTAATATATCATGGGATCCACCCCAGACGGATACCTGGTGGAAAATCATAACTAGAAGCAGCAGCCTGGAATGATACTGTTGAAGATTTATTTACTGTTTACTGTTAAAACAGCAACGTGGGGTAAATTAAACTACACCAGATATAGACATATTTACAATATTTATGTTTAAATAGTGTGAAAGTAAGAGAAAGGAGTGACAATTTCTGAGTAAGTAAGCTAACAAATTTATAACAGACTTCCAGTGGCCTGCAGCCAAAGTCTGTCCTGTCCTATAGGCTACAGGTTTCGATGGCTGAATGCATTTTATAGCTCATGCCTTCACACTGTGCACAATATCGTTCTTCACGTTGTTTAACATTAACAGGATGTGTCTTCTGATTTGTGTGTCATGAACATTAGTCAAAATCTGTTACCTCACATTTAAGTTATGACAAGCCAACAGTATATCCACTGGTTATTTTTTATGTCAGCAAATGTATTTAAACAGTGTATTTAATTGTCATTTTTACACAGACTACTTAATATCTACAGCATATATTAGAGTATTAGAAGTAATACAGATAACCTCAATGTAATTACATACATTGTTTTAATGTAATTTAATAGTGGACACAAATGCATATATTACTAAGTATCAGTCCATCAATCAATATTTTCAATGATGTTGGACTTGTGCTCAAAGGTTTGACACACCACACACAATGGTGTAGTTTATTATTATTATTATTATTTTTAATTTTAGTCACTGCCTATTTACTATACCCTGACATTTAAAGTTCTCTGGGGTTGCTCAAAAATTATGTGCACTGCTGAACGTTAATAAGCAAAACATTCTTCTAACTCTATTTCTACAAACTTCAATAACAATGACTTCTTTAGGCAACACCTGATTGATCATTATACTGCAATTCCTTTGTCTACTTCATATTTCGGGCTCCTGACCTTAATGATAGAAAGTTCCTTTATTTGAAATTAGATGTATCATGACGCAATACTGTGACATATTGGCTAATCACAAAAAGACACTGTCATGTACTGATAGCTGTGATCATCCAAACCTACACCAAGAAATTAATATTTATGACAAGCATGAACTAAAGATATACATTAAATCACAAAATTCAGAATTCAACTGTCAAACTCATACCGAATACTTTGGTCATTATTACCAGAGATATTTAATACATCCTCTTTTTTTTTTTACTTCTTTGACTTTGGAGTTACTGACATTTTCCTAAGTAATATTCTGATGCTATAAACAGAACACACACTGCACCAGTGAGCTCATACTAAGATGAATAGCTGATAAATCACAGCAGCTCCATCTGGATAAACAGATAAGACTAGGAGCAAAGTAAAAATAATTAAGTGGTTATGGGTGAAAATATTTGTGTGATGAAGTTTGAACTGTTAGTATTTAAGGAAATTTATTTCACGAGTTATTAAAAATCATATGCAAGTACTTTTCAAATAACTTTTCTTGTTACTGTTAACTGTGTGACGTTAATGAGATTACACCTGAACATTGATCAAAAGATTTGTAATCTGACCCGTTAACTGGTATATTATTAGCCACATTTAATTTGTTTGCAAACAGTATCTTATCAGAACAGTTTTCACAGAAAGAAATATTTTTCATTACATACCAGAAACTGCTTTGATTCATAAGCTTCACCAATGTCATCCTTGACATGCTTTCTTAGTTTCTGGTAACTATCTGGAAAAAAATGTAAAATTATTTCTAATCAATGATTTTAAAATAACCCATGTTAACCAAAGTACACTAGCATTATAGATTGTATTGCTAGTTTAGTACCGAACAGATTCCACAAATTGTCCACTCCTAATTTCTTTCATTGCATTCAGCCTAAGACATCTTTGAAATTATTATTTTCTGAATTATGTGTGGTGATGTGTTTTACAGCAGTTGGCATTTATGTTGTAATACTGTCTGCTTTAATCTTTACCTTTCCTTCTCCTATCCTCGTTTTTGTTTCCGACAGACTGGGCACAATCACTGTACATTTCTGCCTTCCACTGCTTTGGAGATTTGAACTCTATTAAACCACGTTCAGTTTCTAAACCCCTGACATTATTTTTCAATACCTTTTATCTGTCCTCAGACTTTGATTCTTACCTCTACCTTTGATCCATAGTGCATTGGGTTCTTATAATTTCTACAGTTGACCCTATAAACTCTTGATAGTAGCATAATGTATCGTCTGTGGAAAAATGTCTGGAAAATGACAATTCTATTGTAGTTTTAAAAAAATGATTAACCCTACAATTAGCACTTTGGTCAACAGTCTTTGCACAAAAGAGCAACCAGAAAAACCCAGAGTCATATGAGAATTACAGTGATGTCATGTACCCTGCTTAGAATTTCTGGCCACATGTACTCTTCTTCATGGGTTGTGCAGGCAGGTAATCTGCTTAGTGATACTCAGTAATATCTCCTGATTTATCTTGGTTTAGGACAAGCACAAGGTGTCGGCGGAGTGATATCAGCAGTAGTTAAGTATCTTCGAAGAAGAAGATAAACCCAATTCCCTAATGCCATTTATTAAAAATCTTGGCCACATCTAAACATCCAAGCGTTATAACATCAAATCATTACAAAGATAAATTTGTTTTCCATGCATTCCTCAACTTATTCAAGTGAATGACCATTGGACACGTAACCCGTCTGACACAACACACACTGAATTTGGGTTCATCATTTGTCATTGCTAAAACTACAGACATAAAGAAGAGAAGTAGTTGACACTGACTTGAGAGAGCATTAGACATCTACCAGCAGGGTAACAATACCAAACAATAATGAAAGAGAGCATCAATAACTACCAGACATTAAAATCAAGTCAATTACTAAAAATATATACATATATGTATATATAAATCTTAAATGTGTCAGTATCATGCCACGTTTTATTTGTTGTTGACATACAGCCAATACGTAAATATGCTGTAATTTGAATTGAAAGTCACGTGAATGTGAAACATCAAATCTGTTTTTATGGAATAAAAATTGTGTAACTTTGCTAACGATTTAACGAGTTACCACAGAAAAAAAAGACAAGCACAAAACAAGACACTGAGATTGAGGATATTTCTTCTATATACCGTTTAGAAATCCTTACATAATTTACCCTTAATGGTATTTCTATTTATTTCTTGTCTATAAATATGACAAAAGCTTTATGTCAGTGTGATGCTTTATTTTAGGTAGAACTATTCAACCTACAGAACGCAATCGTAGCATTAAACTAAATAACCAGTGACGTTTTTAACCGATTACTTAATTTGTTATTTCCTATATCTTTCTCAACTCATATATTTAAGTTATGGTGTCACTTGACCTGCTAATAAAGCTCAAACGGCGTTTTAATATTTTAAGAATGTAATTAAACAAATAAGCTGAAGTCAATGGCGATGCTAAGGTTGGTAAAGTTAGAAGCTACTGAAGTGACATTAGGCAGGCTAACTAGCAACCCGTGCTAGTCTTCGCTTATTTGTCTATTTTACGCTCCTGTTAGCGGAATTACCACAAGTTACATATTCTACGGCAAGACAAACATTTAAAATAGCGCTCACCGGCTTTCCCTGGCGAAAGGTTAAACTTGTAGAAGCAGTGGCACAAAAACCCCACGTACAGTGAACATGACGCCGTGCGTGTGTTTGAGGGTTTCGCGCGAGCCCAGCCAGTTGGCAGTCCGCACAATGCTCTATCACTGGGATCATGGCTACATTAAAAATGGCGGTCTCCACAGCTAAAGATAGAAGCTTTACCTCTTAAAAAACACACATTTAAGAGCTTTGCCTCCCATGACGGACAGTTACCATGAGATGCAGCCGCTGCGTTAACCATGGATGTTAGTAGTGCCTATAAACCAATGCTAGTAATGTTGAAAAGGTAATTCGCCTTACCTCTGATGCGCGTTACATTTGCTTCTCCATCTTGCTTTTGCGACTAGTAGGGCAGTTTAGATCTCGCGAGAATACCTGCTGCTGCGCTGGTCTGGGGCACTCCCTTGTATTTCTGAAGGATAAACAATACTGCTGCGTTTTTTGGCTCTGGAGCAAATCAGTGATAACTGGTACTTCCAGCTGCAATCATGTGATTTCATGTGCACACGAAAGCACTCAGGGAAGAGTAGTCTTAGATTTCAGAAGACTGTTTAATATAAAAGTTGAATCACAACTTTGGGGACAACTATGGGTAGGAGTACATTTTAATGTACGAACACATTTAGCCACTATCTAGACTGTATCTTATGTCACTAGTGAGAAACAAAATAGTTCATACAGAAAACCCTGAGGAAAAACGGCAGTCACCAGGTGCTGCATTGCAGTCCAATTGTAATTTTACCCAAAAATGCAGTTTAAAGTTGTATAACATTACCATAAAAATCTAAAAATGAGAACGACATATACACCGACCTCCAGTGGAAAAAGTTTGCCCAAAAAAAAAACTCTATGGAAAAAGACAATTTTGCCCAAAGGTATATTTTAAGTACATTTTTAAAACACAGTACACACCAACACAAGAGTGGGTAGCAACAATAATTAATATAAAAACTAAATGGATACTACAAGGTCATTTATGTCTAGCACACATTTCAATAGCATACCAACACGACACAACTAGGCATGACATTTACTGCATACAAATATAAAAAAGGGATTTTTTTTTCAGATATTTTCCAAATACAGCAATTTATCATGTACAAGTTATGTTAAGAAAAGATTTCAAAGTATCTGGAACTATAAAAGAACTTAAATTACATCATACATTATATATGTACATATGAAATTGTGTTCTGCACCGTCACTCATATTTAAACAAATAAATCTACATTTTTCTTAATCGCTAGTACATTCTGTGAAAAGAAAGCACATGTCTAAATCTGACCTGACAAATTAAGGTAACCTGCAAAAAACTAGTCTTTTTAACATATAATATTTTTCTGCTTTTCAAATGTAGCTATATAAATTACAAATATTACAAATATGTACATTGTCAACTTAAATTGTAAAAAAGAAAACAGTAACAAAGCCACAGAAAAACTTTTTTACATGTATTAAGTGGTTGAAAAAGTCAAAGTGGGACTTTGAAGACAAGGTGATAACAAAACACATGAAATAAAACTGAACGTTTTCCTTGATAAATAAAAATGATAAATAAAACTGTATGTTAATCTTGGCATTAGTTTACATGGTTTGATTTATAGACAGAGCTACATTACATGAATAAAAAGTTATATGGTAACTAGTTGGTAAAATCAATAGAGATTTCTGATGATGAGCACAATAGATTGATGTGTATGTCTTACCACACGTGAGGTTTTGGGTTTAAAACTACAACTCAATGCAACAAGACAACAGCGTGACAACATGTGTTTTTCTTTCCCTTTAAAAAATTATGTTGGACATTTTGAATTTGCATAAACACAATTTCAATAGAAAAGAATAAAAACAAAAACTTAAAGAGTTTTTTTCTATGCTAGTTAATTGAGCTAGTTAAAATCACTGTTCTGCTGGATTTTAGTCTTTTTTTCTCTTTTTTTTTTTTTTACAAACTGTCCTAATATCATGATCTAAATCTAATTACCATCATGACAATCATCACTGTAATCTGTTGAAAATAAAAGATGTATCTCTGAAAATACCTGAATGCAAAATAATGGAGTGACAAACCAGCCACAAACTTGGTTGAATACCTGCTTCATGGCAGAACAACACGTATTAATTAACAGGTAAGGACAGTAAACAAATTTTAAGTACAAAATATAGAATATTCAATTTTTTTTCTGGACTTACTTCTACAATATCCCTTTTCATAATTTCACATCTTCAATGTATTTTACAAGAGGAGTTTCCCATTGCGATGGATTTTAAGAATTTTTCCGAGTCTCTGTTTTGCAGTTGCTAGCCCTTTCTTTGGACGTTTTCCTATATTAAAAGGAAAAAGAGAAATGTTTTAGATTTTCAAATAAGATCAAAGATATCAAAATGTAATTTCTTTTACTGACCAACTCCTGTTATTCCTTGGCTTGCTGGGGATGCACCAGACAGAGAGTTGCTGTTCTGTGGAGACAGCGAAGGTCGTCGTGAAGTGAGGAACACACCAGGGGCCATGGCTCCACCACCTCTAGGACCTCCAGGCCCAAAAGGTCCTGGTCCTGCTGTATATTCATGGTCCAGCAAACTAGCAGAGAAATAATCCATCCTTCTCTCTGGACTAAAGTCTCCAGCAGACTCTGAAGCAGGTAAAGGAGACGATGGCGCCTGCTCTATCTGCGCAGGGGGAGAAGCGACTGCAGCAGGAGGGCGGCGCTGTTTTTTGGTGTACTTTCTTTTGGCAGGCTTCTGCTGCTCCTAAATCAAAATTGAAAAAAAAAAGAACAGATATTAAGCATAAATAAAGGCAAACAAATCAAACAACAACATTTAGAACATACATTTATATTCCATTCTTTAAACATTCTATGAGTAAACAATTAAGGACTGGCACCACATTTTTAAGACGAGTCACACTTGAGTCCAGACAAAGCAAAGTCATACAATTCGTGTCGTAACTTCAACAGCAACAGGACAGGATCACTACGAGGTAATCACTTGTTACAATGGCACCTATAATGGTCATAATTCCAATAAATAAGACCAATATTTATTTGGTTGGACTCACTTGTTGTGCCAGTTTGGCAGCCGCAGCAGCAAGACCAGTTTCTACAGATGCAACTCTGGCCCCCTCTCTGGCTGGTCGATCCTGTTTGGGAAGGGTGGGCATCACTCTGGCTATAAATGAGAAATAAATACGAGTTAAATAATCAACTCATGAATAGTTAATAAAATGACCAGATAACATCTGAAAATACAGATTTAATTATGGTGTGTTACAGCCATTACCTTTAGGACTCCAAGGAGAATCATCCCAGTTCTTCTTACGCTTCATCTTAGTTTTATTAGCATGGTCCTCCTCATCAGACTCCAGGGATGGATAAACTTAAAAGACAGAACAGAAGAATCTCTTACACTCTCCAAAACACCAAAAACACTAAGTATAATGGTGTAATTGTCAGAGTGAGCTGCTCACCATAGTCTGAATCTTTAAAACAGGTTCCCAGGGTTTCCTGTTCATCTGGACTGTCATCATCACTTAAGTGACGGGCCGGCCGTTTAATTGGCCTTTTTCCAGGCCGCTGGATGACAGCTTTCTTCTCGGAAGTTCCTGTTTTTTTAACCCCTCCAGTTACCCACACAGCCCTGCCTCCCTTCTCTTTGACCACCCCTAAGCCCTCTGTCAGACCTCCAGAGATAGATAATGGAGATGAAGATGATGAAGATGAGGACGAGGAGGGGGGATTAGCCATGGAAAGCATTCCCTGGATAGCATCACGAGTACTCGGAGAAGCTGGTGCTTCCTCACTGGGAAATAAAAAAATAAGACTTTTATTGAAAACATGCAAATATGTGCTGTGTTCACATTTAAACAGTACTTAAATCATGCTACACAAAAGCAATAAAATCATGGGTTCCAAGCATTTGGTAGTTGTAACATAACTTTGAAATCACCCTTCTTCCTTAGAAAAAGTAAAAACATCTGACCTCAGTGCTGCAGAGTCCAGTCCCGCAACTTGCTTGCTGGCCTTTAGTAAGTCCAGAATTCCCCCTGCACCACCCTTCACTCCATGAGCAGCCAGTGCTTCCTCATCTGTGGTGTAGTCCTCCTACAGACATGTACAAAAGCAAACTCGTTTATGAAGTCAATAAACTGCTGTTTTATTGAGCTGCTATATATAACTATACAGCTGAATGGCATTTAGTATGTAAGACTGGCTCCAGGAAACCTGTCCGTCATAGTCAGTCATAATGATCTCACCTCAATGTCAAAGTCAACCTCTCCTGGCTCTCTGATACGATTCGGGTCAGAGCAGGGTTTGGCTCTGGGCAGCTTCCTAGGAAGACCTGTATATACATTTAAAACTATTAAAATAACTATTAAAAATTAGATTACAGTAACACATTCTACAACTTTGAGACAAGTTTTCAAGTAACTACATTTAAGATACGAATAAACATTATGTACCATAGGTTTAAGATGTAATTGGTTTTGTGTCCAATTCCTACCACTTATTTTCTTTTTCTTGCTTGGTCCTGGAGGTTTGCGTCTCGGGGGTGGAGTCTCATCAATCTGCAGCTCATCTTCAGACTCCAAATCAGACAGACTGGCCCCCTCCATGGCAAGATGTTTGTACTTTCCAGCAGCTCCTGCACCATTACTGCTGCCATCCTTCTTACTGCAACAGGGGAAACGGCAGGTAACAATATCAAGACTAATAAAATCGATTAATCAACAAGTTTTGATAGTAATACACCAAAACTCACCCCTGGATTTTTCCATTGGTCAATACGAGCTTGAGTTTTCTTTTACTCAGTTTCCCTTCCAACTCTTCTAATGGCAACTCCAACTGCAAAGAAAAATTTACCAGAAGAGTTCGAACACAAAAGTAAAATAATAAATTGGTAAACCACCTGCAGGTGCCACCCAACCATACCTTGTTCTTGTTTTTGGACTTCCCAGGTTGAAATTTCTTGAGTGTATGTTTGGTGTGGATTTCAATCAGGTCCAGTTCTCCTGCCTCTGCTTTAAGCAGCCCCTTCTGACTCTTCTTCTTGGTTACTGTTGGGCCCAGACCCCCTATTACTTCTTTGGGTTTAGGTCCTTTCTTTTTTACTGGTGGGTGTCCTGAATTTTGAGAGCTGGTCAGTGGGGCTTTAGTGAGCGGAGAACCAGGAAACTGTTGTCCAGTGCGGCCAATGTTTTGTTGAAAGATGTCCTACATTAAATAGAAAAACAACAAAATGTGTTTGTAAAACAGAAATATTTTCACAGAAATATTCAATAAATAAGACAAAACAAGTTCCAGTTTGAGTGCGTCTGCTGCTTACCTCAACCAGGCGAATCTCCTTGGCCAGATCTTTCACTAACATCTGAGTGTTGATGTTTTCTGGAATCTCCGCCTCATGCTCTGCTAAAGCCTGTGAATACAGTAATCATTACTATTTTGTTACAAAAAAAAAACATGGACATTTTTTTAGACTAATCACTGCCTAATATTAATATTTTAGTTCATTTTTACAAACCTCTTTACGGGTCCAACTGCGGAAGGCGTTGTTCAAGGCTTTTGCCCCTTGAACCAGATAAGTGGCTGGATGTCTGCGATTTTCTCGTAAACCTATGACAAATAAATACACAAATGAATGATGAACAGTATATTAGACGAATATATAGAGCATGGAACGACAACCTAAGTTGGCATCAACTTTGAACTACTAAAGAGGGTTGAAGTCTCTTACCTCTAAAGATGTCCAGAAGATGCTTTCCAACATACCAGCACACAGTCTCAAAGTTAGGAAACCTAAACAGGTCTGCTGTGCTCAACCTCTTCTCTATTTCATACGCTCTGGAAATAACAGGAAAAAACATACAAAATATGCTTTTAAAAAGATTTTATTTATTAATTTGATGATTAAATTTTTTTTATTAAGAGCAAAAATGATTTAAACTACTTGAAAAACTCACCGTAACTGCATGTCAATGTTAAGACTGTGCAAGAAATTCCCCCCAAAAGCCAAGCAGTCCACTGGAGTCAAGACAGCATGAATCCACCCTGAAAGATAAATTAATAAGAGAAGTATAAGCACTTGAGACATAACCCTCACAGCACAGAGTTTTTCAACATACTGTATAAAACACTGAAGAAAATAATTAGTGTACCTGTTGGTATGAACAGAGTGTTTCCTTGTTTGAGGGAGCATTTATAGCACATATCAACCTGGTCCCCAAAGAACATCTCGTTCTGGTTTGATGAAGAGCTCCACCGCTCAAACAGTGCCAAGTTGGCTGGTGTTGGGGAAATCAGGTAGAAGATCTTTTCACCCTGTAGAAATCAAACAAGAGGAACACAAACTAAGACAACAAAGTAAAAACACAGCCACACCCCATCCAAGTGCTTATCTTACAATGAAGTGAACACAAACTTGACAGAAAAAAAAACAACCAAAGCAGCATTCTGAAGTGAAGTCTTACCCTCAGAACATGATACCACACGGAGGTTCCCCCAAAGTCAATGTGAAAGTCGGTGTAGCTGTCCTTCACTCCCATGAGGCAGTACTTCTGAACATTGGGGCGCTCAAACACAGACTCCTCAGGCCAAAGATTCTCCACCCATGACAGTTTCCTCACAATCTTTGGGGTCTCCACCAGATTTGAGAGTCTATAACAGACCCAGTTTAGAAACCACAACTGATTTTTAAATATTGAAAAACTTTGGGATTAAACTGAACTTGAAAATGTCACAGTGGTAGACAGCAAACCATAAAGATAAACAGAAATGTGTTGGAATCACTTGGCCGACCTGGTCTCTGAGAACTCCAGGCTGATGACGTTGAGCACTTGGTCTCGGTTTGGGCTGTTGTAATATTCAATGAAGTCTCCCAATCTCATCTTCAAGTCACACTGCCTCGACACATCAATCACATCAATCTCTTTGTCTGCTCCTGCATGTGGAATAAAATAAACACGCAGCACACAGTTGTGGTCAGCTTGATTAGTAACACCTCTGAACTTCCCATTACCATTAACTAGTCAAATTCTCATTAACCCCACACAGGCAGCACCGTTACTGTCAAAATTAACTGCTGAATTATCAAATAATCAATTAAAATTAAAGTGTTGATCTTTGTTGGTCTGGTGAAGAAATACCACAGGTGTAACAAGTAGACCACAACTCTGCAATAACCATAACTGTCTTCTCATAACAGAATAATGTTTAGTTAGCAAGTCACTCCCAGTTCACTGGCATTCTATATCAGTGGTCATGTCACCTAAAACTGATTAATATGCCAAAATACATTGAGAAACTGTTATGGTTGACTGATTTTGTGTGTTTTTAATTTAATTCAACCATACCAATGTAGTGCTCTACATCATTGACACTGAAAGATGACGGCGGAAGTGTCATGCCCAGACCATCCCGTCTGAGCACCATGACAGGAACACTGAACGAATGCTCTTCCAGAAAATCCACTGTCAGCTGAGCTCCAGATGGTTTTAGCAGAACTTCGTCCGCACTGTCAGTGAAACAAAGAAACAGACCAATGCTTTAAATCCTGTATATTTTGTATAAAACTTTTTCATGCTGGACAAGGAAGTAGAATTACCTTGGGAAGGTGCGGCTCCGCAGCTCCCTGACAAATTGTGGACTGCCAGTCTTAACTGGTCGACTGGGATCCCTTCCTGCTGCACTTACATCTATCTGCTTGTTTGCTCCACGCCGTTTGCGCACTAAAGGAGGGAGAAACACACATCAATACAAAGTCTAAAAGCAAACAAAAAGATAATTATAAATGTAAACGTAAGAAAAGTCAACGTACTGACAGATGGCCCATGGGTAACCTGACAGTTTGGACAATGATACAAATCAATCTCAGCTGCCTTGTCCTCTTCAACTCCAACGCAGCTACACAAAAAAAGTTATGTTAAATAAATGTACAAAAAAAACTAATTGATTACTTTATTGCCTAGTGCATGAACCATACAACTCCAAGGAGGACAGTTGTTTTAATAATATTATTACTGTTTATCTAGACACAACCCACCTTCCATGGAACCAGTCTTGACAATTGTCACACTCGATCATGAAGCGCGTCACATCATACGGCAGGCGACACAAACAGTACACTGGTACTGACGCCATGCTGGCTGGTGGTGCAGTTGAACTTGAGGTTTGTTTTTTTTTTTAGGTGAAGGTATCGCAGCTTCTTTAGAATAGTTGTGTGATTAATTAACTAATGAGACCTAATTTATGGAATTTAGGTCATATTGTTGTGGTCCTGGGGTGAAAAGGGGCACGTTTTCTCCAATAGTTGACAGGAAATCTGTTGAAACAGAAAAATAAGACAATCCACTCACTTTAAGTTTAAGTTTTTTTTAAGTTTAAGTTTTGAGTTTAAAATAAATATTAGGCTACTCAATTAGTTACTTTCAAAGTGGAGTTTTAAAATTACAAAGCAACTGCATTATTTTAAATGTAGATTGTAGATAATGTAGATAATTCTAAATTCTAAACCTAAAAGCACCAACTGAAAATTGTAAAATGCAGCTGTTTCCTGAAGGTAACTCCCAAGGGATTAGCAATGTTCCATCTATCTACAAAATCTGGTGTTTCCACAGAATTAGTATATCTAAGTATATCTAATTTACTAGAAAAGCAAATAAAGTGAAACATAGTTTAGTAAAACAATTAATTTTTACAGTAAAGTAATCCACACAAGATGTGAGTTTGGGGGATATATATTTGTTATTAATGATTCATATTATGTATCTTCCATATGCTGCAAATAACTGCAAAATGAGACTCAAATGAAAAGACAACTTAATACAAAATGCTCTGATTTAATGATTAAATTAATGATTTATATTTCCCTTAAGTAGTAACCATTTGAAAATGAACGTTTTCTTATAACTGATGCTTTTTGATTGGTAAATGCATATTTAGTTTTGGGTTATTAAATTGTATTTATAACACTTAATGTGGATATACAGAAACGTCGCAAATAATAATTTTGAGACTTATGAGTAGCAGATGTCAATGATTTGAAAATCATCATATCGGTTAGAAAAACTGCAGTTAACTAAATCTCTCAGACCGATATACACGAATGACTTACCCCCCAAAATTACATTTGGCGGTGAAATTTAAAACATTTCACTGCAATAAAACATTCTGACTGTATTTTTAAAAAGTAAATTTAACTAACAGGATGTTAGTGTTCGCTACTGTTTGTAAACACGCCGTCCGTGTTAGCCAGGCTAATGCTACTGCTAGCTATTTAAAACACTAACAGCAGCATAAAATACGAAGTCTATATGAAACACATTTCAGCTCGTAAACTAAAAACGCCATTTGCATTTGACATGAGTCACATTTTTAACCGGAAAGAAGTGGGCCGTTTGTTCACAAAACAAGTTAGTTACTCACCGAAATCCGGCTGCGGCAAGGCCAAGCGCTCCAAAGCCGCTGTAATCCTCACGCAAGACCGGGGTTCGCTGCGGCCTTGTTATGCAACCGTAAATATAAGCAAAGAATTTAACTAAATCATGCTTTGCCAACTCTCCTGAGCACAAAGATAGAGACCCGGTCTCGACCTGCACACTGGACCACAAGAACAGAGCTCAAAGCAACCTAAACGAGCCAAAAATGTACAAAAAGCAGCGTGCTTAAGTCCATGAGCGCCATTTCAAAGGCTGCAGGGTCGCTGTCTGCGCTTCAAACACAATAAAGTTGCAGCAGCTGCAGCAGGAGCTTCACCCACACTCAGAGCAAAAGCGCTGCGTTTGGACTACATGTAGAAAAAAGTTGTAGAATCCATATGTTTTCATATAAAAGTTTTACACTTCGTTCTATATAAAATTTTGCACATCATAATTATTGTTTTATACGTTTTCCTTTATTCACAATGCGCTCTAACACGGTCGTCAAATTTCACTGAGCTGTTGAGTAGTCCTCGTTTTTCACATACACGTTCATTTCACATATTTTGTTTTTTTAAACACAATTTGTCAGAGGCCAAAATAAAACTAGTTTTATTTAAACAATTGTATATATGTAAGTATATAAGAGTAGCAAGGATCAAGTCAATCCGACTAAATGTCAAGTTAAAGAAACGTGTTTTTTGGCAAACAAAAAACAAACAAGTAGAATAGTTGTTGTAAGAAGTCATGGTAAGGACACGTTTTAGGTACATTGTGAAGAAATTAGCAACATCTAGTGGTGAAATGTCATATTGTAATTGTACATTTCTCATTTCTCAACAATTTCAACCATTTATTCATCGTTACACCAACTATGTTCCTATTCAGAAATCTTTTCTGGAAAAAGTCCTTTTCTTTCTTTTTGTTTTCAATATCTTCAATTTAACATGAATGCATCGGATCACTCCTCCAGTACTAGTACACTCACTTTTCAAATCAAATAAAGGCACAGAAATACAACGATGTAACTTGATGTTTGACATCATTTATTTAGATTAGTTACAAAACATAAATATAATCAACTGTTGAATTAGTCATTAGTCATTAATCACAATTTACAGAGGTTAAATTACCAGCAATGTGCCTTATTTTTTAAAATTTTTGCCCAATTTATTATTGGTTGTCAGTAAAACCATTGAGACGCCTTGCTTTTTGTTGTAATAAATTAAAAATGCATCAAATTTAACTTGGAAGCTTAAATTCTTGTGTGATGTTTCTGTGGTTTGAAAAAATAAAAATAAATAAGGACACTAAATGACAATAATTTAATTGAATATAATTGGAAATGACCTTGGCCTGTCAGTACTCAGAGGTATATCAAGGAAGGGGAGTCCCATGTAAACAGCTATGGAAACCCATGTTTTAATTTATTTTTTATTCATTAACCTCTGATTCATAATGATGAGAACACAGCTATATGTTTGTAGAACCCCTCTTCAGAATACAAAAATAATCTCTGTCTTTTAGATAACATTTTGGTAACACTTCGAAGAAAAAGCCAGCTTTAAATCATGGTTCACCATCATGAAGCTGAAGCTTGCGGTCAACAATGACAGCACAGTATCTCACCTCCACCAACAATGACCTACACTGCTGTGAGAGTGAGTTGTGTTAGGAAAACAAACCCAACAAAAACCAGTGTGATAATCTACCAGCATACATTAGTACTCATTATAGACTCATTATCCATTTTCACTTTCTTAGACTGACTTTAGCCAGTCTTTAACTAACAGTATGACCTCCTGACCTCTGCTGCACTCACACTCTATCATTAATAAAACAAAATGCTACTTCCACTACAGGCTACTTATCATGCCAACAATGATTAGGGCCTGACTATTGATTCAAAGTAAAATACATTACTGCAGAGTAATATATCCACTCCAGATATATTACACAGTTTATTTATGTAACCTCACATTTAATGAATGAAAAAAAAAATGAATAAAGAAAAATTTAACTAAAGTTATGCTGTGCAAAGTGCAAAAAAAGCACACATTTTGTAGATCAGTGGCAGAGAGATGTTTTCACACCAACAACCTTCTGGTTTGATCTAAACCAGTTTAAAAACATGGAGAGTTAACGCAGACAATAATTCCGACAGTTGTGGTGTAAACCGAGTTTACAGTCGGTGTATGGTCTGAACTCTTATTTCCTGGGGGGTGAACAGGGTATGGACAAAGTAGACAGTGATGTTTGTGTTCAGTTAAACTAGCAGGTGAAAATAACAACACTGTATATGCGATGACGCAATCCCACATCTTTTGTCCTTCACACAAAACTGAACATCCGTACAATCACAAAACATGCAGTTATTTAAAAAGGCAACAAAGGGATAACCTTTCTTGTCTCAGTTTACTGTTAAACCTTGGCAGTTTTCTTCGTTGTCGACCCCACGACTGCATGACACAGTGATACACAGTATACTTTGATATGTTTGGGCTTAATTAAAATTCACAAATGTCAATAAGAAAGTGGCTTATCCTGAATGCAGCTTGTACTTTTGATTATTTTCGGTAGGCAACAAACAGCACGTGAGACTCGTGAATACACAGCAGGCAGTTTTCACTCTGACAAGTCAAGTTAATCATCACATCATGCAAGTTTTGGGCTGAATCTATGCAGGTATTCTCAACACTGACGGAAAGGAAGTTAAAATTGCCTTCACATTAAACATTTCTCTGAATGGAAATTCTATGAATTATCCCTCTCTGGTGTAAACAGAATAAAAGTCATGCTCTATGGTGAACGACACTCACAATGTACAGTAAATAGTGATGTTGTTGCCCTGTTGTACAACATGCAGTCTATTTTGTTCGTGGTCCATTTGAACCTGTTGTGCTGTTGGCCTAAAGAGTTTAAACAACAGTGAAAGCTTGTTGTACAGATCTAGTTTTAGTCAATGGATTTCTTTAGAAAAATATTTTATGCCTTGGAGACAAATCGGTAAAATACATGCTGATCACTTTTTCTGACCACGGCTAATTGCACTTTTGATGAATTAGTCCTTACTGTAGGTTTTTGACAAATTAAACAGAAACAAACAGTCACCTTCTCATCTCTGCTCTGGGAACATTCAGGTCAGACTGAGTTGTTGGGAAAACAAAAACGTGAACATGAAACCATGTCAATGAAAAGATATGTACTTGGACAATCCACAAACATCTACCCCCACACACACATATACTCATCCATACTTGACTAAATACATCTCCAAACCCAAACATACATTGCCGTCTAGAGCCCAGTCTGTAGGTTCCATTTCACCCTCTGTAATATACTGTAGTCCCTGCCGTTCTTCACATTAACTCCAATTTCACTGAAAACAACACTAGACCACAGATTAACCGCAGTCAAAATTTACACAGACAAATCGTCAAACCTCACTGTCTTCTTAGACAATTTCAGCCTCAAACATCTCAATTTTATCGGTGTCCCAGCAGAAGAGTCGAGGTTCGGGATGTAAACTGAATTTTGGCACAGGAAGGTAGAGCAGCAGCGGAGCAATAGCTGTGACAGGTAGAAGGAGCGAGAGCAAACGGTTGGCCCCAAAGCAAAAGTCAACTTTCTAATGGTGCAGCAATGCCACTGAGGGGCAGCAGAGATGTGGCCGTGGGCTCTGGGGATGAGGCCATTGACGGAAGGCAGCGGTGGCTAGCTCTGAGGTGGAGAGTGTGGCAGCGGGGGCGGCTGCGCCGTTGGTAACGACTGAGGCTGAACTGGAGTTTGCATCCGTTGATGCAGAATCTGCTGTCGGTTTGGGGGCTGCTGACTGATCATCTGCTGAAGCGGGAGGGACTGGTGGAGGTGTACATTTTGCTGTAGCTGTTGCACCTGAGCCATGTGCATCTGTGGTGGAGGTCCTGGAGAGGGGAGGTTGGTCAGGTTCCCTCCACCTGTGTAATTAGAGGAGGCTGCCACAGGTAAGCTGGTTGGGGTGGGGGTGGTCTGTGGATTCAGCGATGTCACTGGAAACCAACCTGGGGGAGCTACCTGCAGAGAAATGGTATAACATTTCAACAATGTTTTGCCAACTCTTAATAATTAAGTGTCAAATATGATTCTTTGATTTGATTTTAGGAATTAATGAAAAGCCAAGTCTATTATCAAAGTAAATTCCATCTATAAAAGGTTTAGGTTTTTCCTTGAGTTTCCTGGAGACATTTTCTTCAGTTCTGTCTGACCGGTGATATAGAAATTGATTAGATAGATTAGATTAGATTACACAGATAGACAGATAGATGGATGGATAGATAAAAAAAAATCATCTGATGTTTCTTGTGAACTGTATTTTTTGTTTTTTATGTATCATGATGTATTAGTAACTGCATATTAGTCCTATGATGAGCTGAAACCCTGCACCTTGATCGATAATAGCTTGTAAACTAAACCCTTCAGGGACGTGGTAACACTGGAGCTGTAGTCGTGTGGCTCAAATCACCAAACAGCAGCAAAATGAAGCCAGAAATGCATTCACAGTCCAGGGGAGAAAGAAAAACAATATCAACCCCTACTTGTTGTAAAAAGGCTGCACCTCACATCTTTAGCCACATGGGTGTAGTGTTCTTCACTATATTTAAAAGCTGCAATTGATCATTTACAGGACTTGAAGCATTACAGGCTAATTAACGTTGAATGTTTGCACAAAATGTTGCCTTGAGTGTTGCTTTTAGTTTAGGGTCCTTGGTCTACAGGATGGTATGTAAATTGTATCCCACCTCTGTCGGCTGACTCCACCCTCCAGACCCCTGCACTTGCTGAATCTGCTTCAGCTGATTCAGTGACGGTTTAGGTTGGATGGGGCCCGTGGCTTCCTTCGTCCAATTATCAACAAGTTTATGCAGTTCATCTGTGAATGTGCTTTTTCGTAGAGGACTCTGATCTGTGGTGAAACCCAGGGGAGATGTGTCATGTGACTAAATCCAATCAATTTCTCCATGTCTATAATCTATCTATCGTAACTCACACCTCTTTTAGCTGGTAGTGATGGGTGGCTCTCAGCATTGCAGGGAAGGGCTAACCTGTTCTGATCACCGCCGGAAAAACTACATTTCTGCTGCATAACTAAATGTGAGACACACCAGTTATTTACACCAAGTACCTCATTGGATAAGAAATAAAAAACAGACTAACAAACCCTCACCAGAATGTGTCACTCCGTTGTTATCCATGTGGGAGTGAGGTCTGGGCCGGAGTTTGACTTTGGCTGGTCTTGACCTACGTGGAGAAATCACAGGTGCCATGGGAAGAGGAGGGGATCGAGAAAGGCAGGCGGGCAGACTCTGCCTTTGGTCTTTGAGGGAACGAAGTTGTCTGTACAGCTCCTGCAGCTCCATGTTCTGCTGAGCCTGAAGGGACACCACCTCTTTAATGTGCCTGGACAAGAGGAAAGATGGGAAATATAAGCACAAACAATATGAAGAATTGAAAAGTAAACCTTATGTGAAGTTCACAGTTCTCAATTCACTTCTCTCTGAGTTTATGTAGTTCACTTCTTAGGTCCTCGTCCTCCAGCTCACTCTCATCATCGTCAGTGCTACCCACGGGTGAGTGGTTGTGTCCATGACCTCGGGTCGATTGAGCCGACACTTGTGTTTTTTTATTTTCGTCTTTGTCCCCGTCTTTCGCCCGCGATCGTCTCCTCTCTCTCTCATAATGAGGCGACGCCGTGGTTTTGCTGGTTGGACCGTCTTCTTTCTTCATCTCAGTCTGGGTTACAGAGAAACGTCCCACCTTTCTGTGAGTGCAAACGTGGCCTGGTAGTAAATCCTTCGGGGGAGAAGACTGGAGCACCGGAGTCACCTGATGACAGAGGCAACGGGAAAAAGATGTCTTTACAAAAGAATCTTAGTGGCAAGAGGTTAGGTTGAAATGTATACTTTTTCTTTCTACCTGAAATCGTCCATTGCGCGACTGGGATGGATTTATGGTTGGCACCTCCTTCTCATCTCTGGACGTCTGAGAAGTGGAAAGTCCATCTAATAGGAATGGTATGAACAAGGAGAAAAGAGGAAACAGACTCAGAAACATAAAAATAGTGCAAAAAGAGCAGACAAATGACAAGATTGACACAGAACAGAAGGCAGTAGACCACAACCAGAACCAGACACATGTACATGGACAGACAAAGGACAAGGACACAAAAGTCTGGTACTAAAAACCCACAAATATCACACAACAACAAACTTCATTTAAGGAGGAATCAAGCCACAATGCCGTTGTCCAAGAAAATTTAGTCCAACATCAACTTTGTCATCCTACTTTTGGTAAACATAGTCAGACAGTTACAAGACATCTAGGGACAGATGCTGAGACCTTGGACTTTCTGCACGTCTCAATGGTACGTAACATCAACCAGTTCACTCTGTGTTTACCTAAATAACTGTAAGGCTACAGATAAACACAGACAGCAGGCTCATGTGTGAAACTGGTTCATGTTGCATAGTACTGCTAATGGTATTTTGAGCATTTTAAAAGGGTTTACAGCATTGTTTAGTAATTCCCTAATCTAATGTAATCTAGTATAATATCCAGGTCATTTTTGAAGCAGACCACTGGGTCTGTTAGACCACATTTCAGTTGTTTGTCTCCTTTTTTTCTGTACTTGGCAAACAGCATCATGACTAAATCACAGCTGGATTTCTCCTTCACACCACATGCATAAAAGTTGATAAAATTTCACACAAACTGTGAGTTAAGAGGAGTTATAAAAAAAACATGAATGTTAAATATTTAAGCGATTAAAATAAATATGTAAAAATGCATTACAGGTCTATGTAGTGGTGTAAAAATGAAAGTAAATTACTCTATTGTAAGCCGTATTCCTACATGCAGTATCCCACTTTATACTGTGCAACAAAGGTCAAAAGCAAATTTGGGATTGTTGCTCAAATCTACATTCTGGTGCTGTGTCTTTGATACTAAAGTGTAAACATGGATGACAGGTGCAGAAATAAAAAGCAGCATTTATACTGTAAACCTTGAAACAGGTGTTACTCACGGATAACGATCCACAATTAGTCACTCATGTGGAACACAAAACAGTTGCTCATGCATGTGCTGTGCACCCATAGCAAAAGGATCTACAGTAAGTGATGGCTACACACACATAGAGACAAAGTACATGCAGAATGAATAAAAAACTAAAACAGTGGGTATTAATGAAGCCTGAGGTTCTCAACTGGTGGAGCCATTCTCTTTAGGTCCTTCAGGTGAAACTCACTTTGTTTTATTGCATTTCATTTTACTTCTCAACACTCAGTTGTTTGAGTCAGACAGTATTATGTGTGTTGGCCATAACCATTTGAGAACCATTAAAATAATAAAAAAATTAATCAGGCACACACATAAAATATATGATCTCAAGTGTAAGCACTTTTCTGCAAATTGGATTCCGACCAGTGATAACAAAGTTCACCTTATCTTGGCTTCAGACACAACTACATCATGTAGGTGCAGACAAGACAAGCAAATTCATTTTGTATCTTTGTTATGACGTGAAGTGCGTGTTTTTTTTTCTATACTGAGCCAGCAGGTGGGAGTGTCGAGGTGAGGTGGGGTGAGGTAGCTGAATGAAGGAGAGGAAAGGAGGTGTCATGTGAAGTGACATGTCCAGGGCACAGTTGCAGCTGGTTGTTACTCCAGAGCTCATCTGCACTAGGATGGTCATCAGATATCTTTTCCTACACTGCGCCAATCTCCCACCCTCTAGTGGCCACTGTTCGCCACCCATGCAAAAAGAAAGATTGCCAAAGAAGTTATAATTAATAAAAAAAAAACAATTCAGACAGAGGAACAAAATTAAATTAAAAAAACTGACATTACATGGGGACTTAGTCACAAAACAATGTAACAAACTAAAAAAATAATGTGCATTAAGATTAATAGTTTTTATTTCTTAAGACTAAAGCAAGTTATTTAACTGTTAAAACTAGGACTGGATTAGATTTCTGTACATGCTCAACAAGCATTCTCTCTCTCTCTCTCTCTCACAAACACACACACACACACATTCTCTCTCTGTTGGAGCCTTGCTCTCTCTCCCATTCCCTATAAGGACGCTACCTTGCTGGACCCTGGGTTTCTTGAAAAGGCTGGTGGAGTGGCGCAGTTTGCACGCCCAGTTTTTGAATTTGCGAGTCCACGATTTCTTGCTAACGGGATTTCTGATACTAGGACATGTCAGGTTTAGGCCAAAATATCCACCTCCTGCATTGTTCTGCTGCTGCGGCTGCTGCTCTCCGTGTCCCAGGGGGATCTGGTGCTGACTGGGAGGCCACGGTGCGTCTCCAGTGATGCTGTTGTCAGAGTGTGGAAGGACAGCCTACAACATTTGAGACAGCATGGTTTTGAAACATAAAAAGATACACTTAGGAATTGGGGACATTTGTCATCCTAAAATGAAATGAACACAATATTATGGTGTTATCATGTCATGGAGTACCACATAACACTGATGTTTAGAGTCTAAGATGCAGCATTCACTCACAAAAACAGTTGGTTCTCCAGGTACAGGTGGGCACTGGGCCTCTGCAGGCTCATCACGGCTAGTGAAAAGGAGAGGGGCGGCTGGGATTGGTGACGATGTGGAGGTGGAGAGCAGTGAGGGACGCTGCTCCACTGGACGCAGCCCTGCAGAGTCTGGCACATCTGAGCAAGCGTCCTCATGTCCTACATCCCGCTCAGGTTCAGGGGAAGAGGAGGAGGAACGGGATGTGGTAGAAGAGGTAGAGGAGGTTGAGGATTGGGGTGAAGTATCTGAGGAGGAGTCAGGTGGGGGAAAAGACGTGTGGTCGAGTGGCTGCAGCTCAGACGACTCGTCTCCCCCTGCTGAGGTGGAGGCAGCTGACGTGGGGCCAGAAATGACTCCGCCGACCAGTGCTGCTCCACTGCTGTGCTCCTGGTACAACAGGTTCCTCAGCTTTTCATCCAGAGTCTTTATACGGTTGTCTACAAAGTCAATTTTTGGAGGACCTTCACTGTCAGACTCAGCCACAGAGGAAGGTTGAGCCGGCGATGGTGTCATTGTG